AAGCAGTGCTTAAAGCACGCACTTCTAGTTACCGGTGCTTGAATACAAACAATAATTATGATTCCTGTATTACCAAAGAAAAGCTTTCTTAAAAGATAATTTAGGTCATTCAAATAAATGATCGACTAAGCAAATGTAATTCGTACTCTTCTGATCGGGAAATAGGATTCTTTACCAGGATTCTTTATATTTTCTGCAAAGAAGAATACAAACAATATGGCCAACGTGAATTCTGCTAGTCTTGTTAGTTCTTCGCAAGCCAAATGGATCAGAGCCAAACATATAACGACCTGTCTTTTTTAACGTAGGACTTCTTTTGTAGGCTCATAGAAACATATAGCATGTAAGGTGACAAGAAATTATTGTAATATGTAATATTACTGCTTACCATACCTATTACACAAGCGCCTAAACATTAACCTAACGCCTTTCTTCGTTTTTCCTTCTGGAGTATCGATGGCCCTCTTTAAATTGACCCGGCATTGTATGCAGCTAGAATTTGTCGTAAATGTTCTAAAGCGTTTTAGCAGATTCGAAAGTAAGACGGCCGCATAGCGTACGTATAGGAAGAGTGGACGATTAAGCGCCATAAAACTTTGGGTTAAATCCTTATCGCCGTATTTTTCTATTAGTTGAAGTTAGACAAACACACATCGGAGCGAAGGAGCGGGGCCTGACGCTAACACTTCACATAATTCGATCCACTTTGCCGATATCAACTTTGATTACTGGAGCTCTCCTTATCATACGAATCTGACTTGCACTTCTTTGTTAAATATATGAGTCGATGAAGGTCTAGGAAATATTACAGCACTCTCTAACTGACATAGGTAACCTGCACTCTGTCACTCTGTTAATTTTATTACTGGTACTTTATTTTTTCCCTTACACATGCGACCGATGTCATGCAGGCGCAACATGTCGTGCAGGCATCATTTATTGTCCAACCATTTCGCCAGTCAGCTAAATCCTGTGTGAGCGTCCGAAGTTATCCATTGCGGTAACAGAATCGTACAATGCCGATGATTCAACAAATGTATTCATCTCTCACGTTGTCCGGAACCGCAATAGTCGCTGGGCATCGATCGCAACAAGTCCGACGGATAGGCATAGAACTGAAGCGTCAATCTTAATAACACCGTGGCGGAGTTGCGATACTGCATGACCAAAATGTGCGCCGTGGCAACGCTCGGGGCTAACCAAAGGTCCAGGCCAACAGTCACATATAGCATCGCCGCGAGCGTCATATGTCACTGCCAGTTTCGTGTGACATCACACTCACTGGTCATGCGTGATGGCTGGGCCTTTTGGTCGAGTCAGGCTGTGTTTTCAGTCACTATTACTCAGCCCTCTGTAGTGGTCACCTCTACGATACGATCACGTTCTAAGTTAGTTTTATCCTCACGATTATCACAATCAAATATCAATAGCGCCCTGCCAGACAACCGGTCATCATCGGCTGAACCAGGACAGCGCACCTATTGCTATCGCTATCTCGACGTAGCACGATGTATGTCCCATCACGCATTGCAGATAAGCGCTGAACAGCTGCACTAATATGAATTCAACGTGGTTTGTTCGTTCGTCTTTTTGGCGATGAGCCGACCAACCGGCCGTTCGCCGGTCCGTGCAGCAACCGACGGCGCCACGTTGTTTTGGATAGCGGTCGAACTTAGCGGTAACGGCGTGCCGCGCTCACGCTCCTATTTGTCACAGCGTGTCCGTTATATTGTTCTATTGCCCTCTGCGCCCCTCTAACTGAGCCCGAAATGACATGATCACGACAAGGCTATCGCGTTGTCCAGCAAGTCGCTGGTCCGATGACCACTGATGTCCCATATGCCAACGAGACCACTCAGCTCTGACGAACAGTGAGAAAGGACCACCCGAAAATGGGGTCCACTGCTTCTGGCCATATCACTCTGTAACGTTATTATGTACGAAGATGACGGGGATCGGAGGGCACCTCCCTACTAGACTGGCCGTTGCCAACGCTATTACCACTGACATCACGTGGATAGGCACACGAATGACACACGGGCGCCGAGGTCGAGGCAGATACCACCAGTAATAGCTGTGGTTGCTTGCATATATTCACTCAAACAGTCGTTCCTATGTTCCCTTAGGTCAATGTGTATGTGCACGTTTCAGCGTCTATCAGTGAACGTACGCGAGCTTATGTTGTACATTTCGGACAACGGCAGCGCAGCGCTCTGTTCAGCCAGGCAGGCCCAAAGCTATACCTGAATCATCTGCCTGTCACTTGGTTTGCACGCGAATGACGACAGCCGGCGGGTACCCTACCAATCTGTTGGCCAAGGCTGGACCGAGAAATCACCAGAAATATTTCTAGCGACCAGCGATTGCCATCCATCCATCCATCCTGTGTTGTCCACCAGGCCGGTCTCCCCCCCTTTCCCGCCACCGATCCACCCCCAACTCCTGCTGCTAATCGAAGTTGTTTCGGGTCGTCACTAGGCCAAGAGGACCACAGATCTATGGCAGCGGTCCCAAAACAGCCGCAGCAGCTTCAGTGGCGGAAGCAGCAGTCGTAATGGTTCCTTGTCTTAATTCCAATCGTATCAGTATCAAGGCTTAATATCGCGCCGCTCGAACTATCGAAGGAACCCCTTTTGGCACTTTGCCTTCGATCCCCCGACGATCCCTAAAGAATTAAATGTCAATGCTTCTCAATAAACTATCAGAGGACTGTGTGCCATGCTTCCAGACAGCCGTATAGATATACAAGTATACAGCGTAGGGACCACACTGCGACGCTATCCCATTGTAGCCTATAACTGCAGCAGCAAGAGGCGGCGATCAATTAGAAAAGTAAAAATGAATAAAGGATAGTCCGAATACCGTCTTGCAGTTCCTGTTACCGTTTTACTCTGCGAAACATCAACGTTTGACCTTTTTTTCCCTTCTTTTCTTTGACCTGTTCTGTTCACTCACTCTCGTTGTCTTATGCCCCTTACCTAAGGACGTCTGAAGATCTTTATCCAAATTCGACGAATATAGAGTCGGTATAGCCTCGATGGTTTCACCTCTTTCATCGGCAGCTGGAATAGGAACTGCAATGTATCTCATTGCCGAGGGATAAGCCAAGAAAGAATTTAGTTGGTCGCTTGTAAAATCGACACGGAGTCTACTGGTACGATTTGGCATTAGTGCGATGCAGATTTTGACTGCTCGCGACGCTTTAGTTAGAAGGAGCCGGCCGAGAACGCACTTCTCTATTCAATCGACGTTTGAAGCTCGGACTGCCTGTGACCCTGTTCACCAGTGCCGTTTCTGCTTTCTATGTCCGCCCATAAATGACCGTAGTTGCTCTATACTACACCGGCTTCGCAGTCTATTCTTACGAAAGGCCGAACGGCAGAAGGCGTGGCTCGCTTTGAACATAGCACCCTAATTGTTTGGCTCTTTTTTGATGCACACACGCGTCTTGCGTATGATAAACAAATTAATTTTTCGCCAGCGGCAACGACATCGATAGCAGACACGAGAGTAGCCTGATAGAAAACTTGCAGTAGTAGATAATGGCGCGTTCAATGCAGAGAAGGCCTGCACGAGATCCATAAGTCGAACTTGGAAGACCGCTCCTCCAATTGACATGAATTTTAAGGTAGTCATCAGGTAAGGGACTGGGCTGTGCCGACGGCAAGTGCATCCGGCGTGTGGTACTACAACAATAATTTATAACGGCAGCAATCGTTAAAGAATGTCGAACCTTAAAGGAATAGTCACATTGATGGTGCATTAAAAGGGGCAGAGCCTATTCAATTCAATATTTGCCCTCTATCACCTTCGGTATTAGAAGTGTCTATCCAGTTACATACACGTATATTCAGACTAGACTAGATTCATTTTTACATGATCCCCTCCCCCCAGTCGGGTGAAGGTTAACCGACTCACTTGAATGGGTTACTTAACCGAGCTGGTTGGATTTTCCTCGTCTTTGTCAATATCACCCAGCCAGCAGCGGCAGGATGCCATTCTGACCAAACAATAAGGACGCTGCTGATGGTGATCATACCTTGCTGACATTTGACGTTAACAACAACGTATGGAAACTCTGATCCAGATTGGCAAACCTCTTACTCAATCATTTTGCAAATTACTAGCAGTGATAAAAAATGTCAAGCTAATACATTGAACTACATGGCTACATGAGTACAGGTAGTTCTTTGATCTGCCCTGTGGGCTTATTGTTTATGGCCTGTCCTTTCTGATCAGCCACGATACGGCGATGCTCACCCTTAAATTTTAACGGCGTCGGGTAAACGCTTATTTCCTCTCATCTCGAAGAGGTGTCCCGTCATTCGTCATGACAATATGGTTTTATTGTTGTGCTCCTTCAAATGGCTGTGAAAGATTCTTGTAACAATAGATTCTGGTCAAGTTTATACAAGCGTCCCTTGTCGTTTTTCGCCAGGACAACTTGAGGTTATCTTGAGCGCCGGTAACAAGTAGCTACGTATAATACATGACAGCGACGGCATGCGCATAATATGACGTCGCACAAGTACCACTATAGAGTGTTGGGTACCGCGGCCCTGTTTCAGTCGGGAAGAAATAAAGCGGCACAAAGAGATAAGAGCAGCAGAGGGACTGCGAGATAAGGTGCTGAGGTGGCAAACTGTACATGTGCCAGAAATGTTGCAAGGGTGTACGACACGAGATAGTTGTAAAGAGGAGAAAAGCGGCCGCTAAAAAAGGAGCCCCAAGATAAAAACTAATGCAGCAGAAGGCAGGCAGTCACCCACCTTCTTCGCGTGTCGCCAGCGATTCGCTTGAGCCACATTAGTATTAGTACTCAGCCCTATATTCACGCCAACATCCTGAGGCCGTCTCCTTCCTCCGGCCTACTCCTTACACTGAAATCCTCATATACTTCTATACAAGAGGTACACAGAGAAGGCTGGTTGGATGCACAGATGTGGGAGAGCCCGCTAATATGACCAATCGACCCGGCAAGCAACAAACTATGCACTCACCTGGTGATGCAACATTGAGATGATAGTATCCGGAAGGGACGACGGTTGTCGCGGCGTGATCGGGCGGCAGTGGGGGTAGGCCTTGATAGGGATTGAGTAGGCTGTGTGACGACGGCAGTAGCGGCGGCGGTGGATAGGCTCCCGATTGTCGAACCTGGTTCTGCTCTCGGGGATGCCGTTGAGACCGATGATGCGGGGGCGATTGCTGGCCTCGTCCGGACGGGCCCGCCCGATCCCTGTCTCTGCCGCCGCGATGATGATCGTCTCTGGCCTCCCTTGTGTCCTGTGAGTGAGTCGGAGGTCCGCCGCCAGATGACTCGTAGTCGCGATCGCCGCCAGACGATAATATCGACAGCTGTGCGTGGTGGTTTGTGTGAGGACGACGATGGTGGTGGTGGTGGTGGTGAGAGGAGGAGGAGGAGGAGTGGTGCGGCGGCGGAGGCAGCAGCAGCGGCGGCGGCGGCAGGCGTGTCGTTGTTGTTGTTGCTGATGGTGGGGGCGACGGTGGGATGGGGGCCTGCGAGTGGAGTGCCAGCTCTGCATGGCAGCGGGGGCAGTACGACAGCAGGGTGGCGGCCGGGGGGACGACCGGGAGGGGCGGTGGCGGCGGCAGCGGTAGCGGCCGGGGGCCCCACCGGCGCGGGCCCGGCTGCACCACCGGCCAGTCGCTCCACACTACGTAGCAGGGCCCGGCCCCGTGGGAGGCGACTTAGACGAGTGTGAAGGCTCCGCAGCCGAACCGCAGCTGGGACAGCCGGCTCGGGCGCCGCTGACGTCGACCGTGACGCCGACCTCGAAGCTGACCGCTGCGACCGTTGCGGCTGCCGCGACCACGACCACCGAATCACGAGTCGGGCACAGACGAAGGCGTTCACGACCAATTCCTGAGCTCGATTCCGACAATAACAGCAATTTATGTTGCTTGTAATTGTTGTCGTAGTGGAGCAAGAACAACAACGAATGGAACGACACGGACGACGAGGCGGAGTGGTGGCGCGGGGCGCGTTTAGCCCGCCGCCCCCGCCGCCGCCCAAGCCGTCGCTCGCCGCGGCCGCGATGGCCGCGATGGCCGCCACTCGATGCTTTACAATGCGCCTTTTCTGATGCTATTGTCGTTAACTGTGGTCGTAGTGGCAACAGCAGTAGTATGAATTGTATTAGCGATATTTGTGGTGTTGGCTGGAGTAGCGGTCTTAGCGATGGCAGCGGTGGGGGCAGAACGCCAAGAGGCAGAAGACGACAAAATGACAGTCGAATCGATAGAAGGGAGAGGATTAGTTGTAGTTGTAATGTAGTTGTTGCTAATGATGTCGCTCTTGAAATCGCTGCTGGGAGTGATGGTGACGATGGTAGTTGCCGTGGTAACGTTCGTATTGCTACAATGGGGCTTTGTGCTGCTGCTGCGCTTCTTCGTGCAGCAGCTGTTGCTGCGTCCGCTGATGATTGCGGTGGATGTCGCCGTATTACTATTGTTATTGTTGTTTTTGCCAGTGCCAAAGCCACGGGCGCCTTGGGCGCTCGGGAGCCTCGGCGGCGGCCACCACAGGTCGCCTGCCGCCACAGCCACCGTCTCACGTGGCGGATGCCGCTGCTGTAAGATGAAATGGCACGACAAGTTTTCCTGGCTTTCCTTTCTCCTGTCTTCTGTCGTCTTTTAAATGAGCCGAGCAGCTCCCTCTGTCTATTGGGCCGCCCTGGGTACTCCACAGCACCACTTGCGGGCAGTCCTGCAGTATGCTGATCACCAGTATCGGCTATAACTCTAAGTGACTCGTCCAGCCAAAGACGGATTCGGACACACACCCACGTTGTGCTCCCAAAAAGCTTCCGCTTATTGCTCACTTAGCGCACCCATCTCACTATATGTGTGATGTTTTTCTTTTGCTGCCGCTCTTTTCGTCGCTGTTTGATCAACCATCACGGGACAAGAAGTTGTAGAGGCGACTTTATGATGTTTGTTTTTTTTAACCTTCGCTATTGCGACTGCTGCGGTTTCACTTGCACTCATAAATCGGTGCAGGTGCCCGTGGCCACTTGCCATTGTAGATGGCTAGCGCGCGTTGATGTTTCGAAACCTAGTCCAGAGGTCGGCACAGAACAGGCGCACTGACTAGAAACGTCATGGGTACTCACCGCCAATAACGAAACCGCCAAGGCCCATCATGATCCCAGTCCGTCCACTGACCCATTGCCTCGGCATAGAACCCAGGCTGCTCTGCTCGCTGTGCAGAGGAGCCTTCGTGTTTTTATTTTGGCTTCTAATTCGCGTTCGTCTTCGTTTTGAATTACTTTGAAATAGATTTACACTTTCACATACACCCATTCACTTGTACAACGCTACTCCCCCGATGGTCGTGCGTCGGCTCCGTCCACGCATACTCTGATCGTCGCACTCTGCCGGGCTTTTTTGCCAGGACGTTGCACTTTTGCTGTTGATTGATGAAAACAATCCAGTGTCGTTAAATGGACGGTGGTATGTCGCATTATCTAAGTGTGATAGAACGAATCTTTCCACTCCGCCTGTCATGTATCCCGGGGAGAGTTAGACGATGGTGGCATTACTATCTCGCAGTTTTATTATTATTATTGTTGGTGTATATATATATATATATATATATATATATATATATATATATATATATATATATATATATATATGCAACTGCGCTAGCAATCCAGGATTCGAACAATCGTTGGGTCGTTGTACACACGGCAACGGCGATGCCAACCCCGGCACTACCTTTCTCTACGCACACACAACTTAGAGACACTTTCAGACATCAGAAAGTTTCTGAAATTGCACATACTGGACAAGTAGTAGCGGTAGCAACGGATTATGATGGCAAGACTGAACCAGACACACTACAATACACACAAACGAGTTTGTTCCACCTTTTACCTGTATTCTTCATCACACGCGAATTGATTGATTGACCTATTGGCAGATTGGATTTAATATTTCTAATAATATTGTTGATATGGCAACTTGATACGGCAGACAACCTGCACAAATTACACCGTGGGGAGGGTACTTGATCCTGATTGATTTTTGATTGCCCCTTACTTATTTCATCCTTTTTGCCATCACTCCGCTTGCCACACACTCGCGCACAACCATTACTGCTCCAGGCATTTCTTCCGAATCATGTAAAGAAGTGTCGCCTTTGCAGCTATTCTCAAAGGGCAAAAAGACGCCTTAAGGAGCCTGCCTCTGGCGTCGTTCGTTAAACCACAATAACAACAGCAGCATTGGCGGACCCGCCACTACCTCTTTCAAGCGCACCGCCGTGGAGCTGATCCGAGGACGCCACTGTTATTCAATATCCACTATCTACTATTGTTAATTGTCCTTCACTAAAATAGTCGCGAATCGAGCTTCCAAGACATACCTCTACCTGGGCTTATTTGCTGCACTGGCGACACTGCTTTGGACATCCTTTTATTTTTCTGCTTAACCCGCGCGCACTTTGATCAATCGTACACGAAAAGCACAAACATTCTTTTACTGAACTCACTTAACGCGCACTCACTCAACACAGATAATCGTCACACGATAAAATCTTCGTTCGGTGATTTCTAGTAGCTGGTCAATCAATCAATCTATCGATCGATCGATCATGAAGCATTGATCGTATGTAGAGATAGATTGATTGGAGGTATGGATCAACGAATATCTGTGTATTTATATAGATATGTATTGACTATAGTTTGTGCCGTAGGACTACCAGGCGCACCTTAGGGAAACGATGCTACTGCCGCCGCTGCTGCTGCTGCTGCTGCTGCCAGTTCGGATGACGATAGATTTCAGCGGCGCTGTACAATTGAATTGCAGCAATGGCGGGACAAGCAGCAGCACCAGTGATATGAACAGTATCAGCAGCGACCAGGGTAGTGACACGTCGTTGCGATTGCATGACCATGACGGCACAGTCTTGGTGCGGCGTGACACCAGTACGTCGTTGCTTCGATAGCAGCGCTGATGACGCTGTTATTGTTGACGATGGCTCATCGCGTCGCATTGCTATTGCTAGTTTGGTAGCTTGCCCTTGGCGTTTGCCGAGTGACCAACTGTAGTTTTGCTGAATCGGTCTTCGGTTGCTGCTGCCGTTGCTGCTGCTGCTCGACACCGCGCTTGACTTCGTTCCGTTATATTGCTACGCTACATTCGCAATCGGCGGGACCCATCTTTGTAACTGTGCTTTCGGCTGCGGCCTAAATACTAGTAGTCATGTATTAGACGCGGCAGCAGTGCTTGGCGTGAGAACGATAAACGCGCTTCACTTTATTTGCAAAAGCACACATCTAGCTTGTCAGATCCGAAAAGACGTCACACTCCGTAGGTTACTCAACGTAAATAGATAGGCAAATAGGTGGATATGATCTCAAACTGCCCTTTAGCACATGAAGTTCACGAAAAGCTGCGCCGGCAGCCGCTTCGCCTAGTGCCTTCGGCAGCTCGCTCCGTTCATCTCTCGCATTCACATTTCGGACCCGCGGAGCCAGACAGGACGAACGCGGGTGGCCACTGCACGGCGGTGACGGCTGCTGTACAGGTAGGGGCACGGTCTGCTGTACTGCTGCTTCCCCGGCTACTGTTATCGTAGCAGCTGCAATGGCTGTTGTTGGGCTGGTTGTAGTAGTAGCAGTGATAATTGCAGTAGTGTTAATCGTGTTGTATGCTCCAACCACCAGCTGCGACCACCACGGCGACGCGGACATCCATTAAGGCGGTAGCTAGGGCTCGCCAGCTGCCGCCGACCACCGTGAACCCCTGAGCGCTAAACTGGGACCGGCGACGGGGCAGCGTCGTGCTCGACCTGACTCGCGCGGGAGTCGCTGGCGGCTCACGCTAGGCTGCTGGGCGGCTAAGGCAGCAACGGCAGCAGCAGCAGCAGAGAGGAGAACATCCATTGAGCGCCACATTTGAGATTGCCGCTTTGCCGAGCTCCGTCAAGCACGTGGCTTCGACCCTTACCCGCGACCCTCCTCTATGCACGGCAAAGCCATCCACCCTCGCCAGACGGCCGCCCCTACCCCGATCCCCACACAGATATCGGGGCCCGCCCACCTTAACCATTGTCGAGTATCCGACGCACGTCTGACGCGCGTCCTAGCTCGAAAAACGCGTGAAAAACATGATCGCGGCAACGAGAAGTGGACGCGGCCCACTGCGCGCCACCCCATTCGCCCGCCATGGAGATGGGGGAGGGTAGTGCTTCGAGGAGGCGATGTGTTGAAGCGGTGTGCTTCGTTCGGGTCGGCCCAATCCCTAGCTACTACATAGCTACTGGCTACCTATCATCATCAACAGCATCTACTGCCACCTAGCTGCGTCTTGCTCATCTGTTCGTCGCCATCGGCCTGCACGCAACGGATGATTGTTGGCACGATCATAATACTGCACGTCAAATTTGAACAC